TCTGGTGCTTGTCTAGAAATCCCTCCAGATTTTTCTGTAACTTTTCAAAGAAATGCAATGGACGAATATCACATATACTTCTGAGTAGTCAACAGCACTTACTAAATTGTTTTCCCAGGCCCAACTTCAGGCATCAGTGCTTCCCCTTTATCAAGAAGACCATCTGTATTTGGCTATGGAAGATGAACAAGGAAGGAGGATGGAAACTCCCTGGGGGAAATTCCTAGCCCACAAGACTTCTACGTGCTCATAACTCTAAGTCCTCTGCTAGCCACAACCCTTCCCCAGAGCTTTGGATATTACACTTGGTGTGATAACAGCACATGAGTTTTCTATTTAGCTGCACTGATACATACATGACATGCTGGATTGTAATTGCACTAATAATGCAATTTACCTAACTATACTGAGACGCTTACTGTGCAATAATATTGCCTGTGTGGCTACAGCATGAAACAATATTACCAATGACAAATAACTGAGCAACTTTTGGCACTGTAAGAGATTTATTCTTGTGAATATATCAACTGTGTTCCATCATTCTTTGTTGACACTATGAAGAAAACACATCCTGCTTATGCTGTCACAAGGGACAAAACAATGACAAATAAGAAAATTTGTAAAACACAAAACATTGTTGATATATGGTAATTTGAATGTGGCTTTTTCTTTACAGAAAGGTTAATCAGTTGTCTCAGAAGTCAAAAACTTGCTGTTGAGAACATCAGAAGCAAAGACGTCACTTCTATTCAAACCACTGGAGATATTGGCCAAATCTGTGCCTGTCTTTACACAAGAAAACAAGTACATGAGAAAACATACATTGCTTTTATGTTTTTGCTCTATTGAGATCAAAATAAGTTCCTCAGTACCATGAGCATCAACATCAGGAAAGGACATGACTCAAATGAAGAGCAAGGATTTCACCCAACCTATAGTAATAACAAAGATAGCTGGACTCAGCAGACAGTGGTTATCACACCACTATAATGACAGCAGCACTTCAATCTGTAGAGTTACCTAGGTCAAAGAAAAAAAAAAAGCAAATAGACAAAAATACAAACTTCTAAATATTTGCTGAGCATCCAGTTTGGTCCTTATTTTTCACTGAGATACACTGCCATTTAGCATGAGCCACTGTTTACAAGTCTTTGGTCAGCTTATAGTCTGAAGAGGTCAATCACATGCTAAATCACTTCTAAGCCAATTTAAAATAATACTTTCGGGGACTTTCATGGGATGATCAAGCTTTCAGTAACAATTCAGATACAGCACGTCTACTTGTCTGAACTCTGGTAGTACCTACATATTTTTCCCACCTCTCTGATAGATATTTCCCCAGTTTTCACAACAACCAAGTCAGTACCTATAGATGCCTCAGAATATAGGCCATGGAGATTCAACAGTTTGCACATAGTATTTATTTTCTAGTGATCCTCTCATCATCTCTTTTTCCATGGCTGTATTTTTGCAAGTTTCATCACTTCCTAATTATCCATATTTTTCCACCTTACTTATCTTCTTACCAAGTAATCACAAAAAGCAGCTCAGCCATTTCTGTTTGCATGTCCCCCTGGTAAATGCACACCTACTTAAGCAATATTCAGAACTAGTATCAACCCGCTCCCTAATTTATCCTCTCTCTCCACAACTCCTCAGCCCCGCTGCAAAGTTGGGAAGACAGCAGTGCATCCAGTTGGGTGCTGGTGAGAGTCTGAGCAGTCACGGTCTCTTCTTGAATAGAAGAGGTGAAAACTGCAACTGTGACCCCTGACTCCCAAATCCTATTCAAGTCCCTACCGACAGGTTCATATTGTACCTTAAAACCTAAGCAGATGCTTGAGGAGCTGAGTTAGGGTTGGAGCCCTAATTCCTCATTTGCTCTAAGTGATAAATCCCTGCAGTGCCTACCAGTGCTCCCAAACACAGGCTCAGTGAAGTGGGACAGGACTGTGAAGAAGAGGAGAGTTATAACTCTGTGTGACCTAGTCTAGGTGATCCTGTTCTGGCAGGGGGGTTGGACTGGATGGTCTTTCAAAGTCCCTTCCAACTCCTAATATTCTGTGATTCTGTGATAACCATGAGGTATTTGGGAAACTGATCCAATCAAACCTCATTCAATACCTCCTCTGCTCAAGAGATACCTGGAGCCTGTGAAAAGAAGAAAATGAACTCTTCCTGCTTTGAACCCAGTTTTACTTTGAAAAAGCTACCTGATTTGAGTTACCATATAAAGACATGCTGTAAAAGGTTCATTTTTCTCACAACTTGCATACAAGGGCACACACAATTGGAAAGTCATCAAAATGTAAGCACACCTAAAATTAATTTCATCATAGGTTTGTTGTTTTTTTTTTCCTCCTATTATAAAGAGAAAACTGACTTCCCTGAAATGAGAAAAACAAAATATATTCTAAACAGCAACTGTAAAGAAGTGTCACCAGGATTGTACTCTTATGCCATACAGAATGTCAGACAGCAAATTAAAAATCTTCCACTGAGTAACTGCATTAGTAGAGAAACTGTGTAATGCTCTGCTCAAAAATGATAGCCTCTTGCAACTTAACACATTAACCCAGTGAGAGGATAAATGGTTCTCGGTCTAGTTTCTGGTGGCAGATGGGTGAGTGACAGAGGAGCTGAGAAAGATGTTGATTACAGAAAGACAGGTATGAGGCAGAAAAACAAGAGAACAAGAAACAAACTAGAAGCATCTCTGTCATATGTATAAAAATAGTAATTTTTGATGAATTTGGATTCATTCTAATTGCCTACTGCAGTGTAATCATAGCATATTTTAAATGACACGCTGGTTAAATAAATTCCTGTGGGAGGCGATCCCTTCTCTGTGACCACGGGATATTTAACTACAAGATGTCAGTAATGTTTCATTAATGGTAATGGCTGCAACACAGCAGAGGAGAGGGATTACATATGAGGTAGTACATTCTACACATTCCTCTACAAGTGTGGGAATAGCCAGATGTGCCCTAAAAGTGCTAACTGAGCTGCACTAAAGGAACTGCACTTGCTGTGACAAAGTGGGCTTCTGAGCATGGAAGGACTGAAACATTATGAAGAAGAAACCAATACTGGCATAACTGTGATTGTAAGGATAAGGCAGATGATTCCGCACTCTGACTTAACATCCAGGCAAGCATGTTTGGCTTATATGAACACTCTTTAGTTAAGAACAATGAATTTTTACTTTCTACCATATCTGTGCCAGTAAATGCAATTACTCAAATGTCTGCAGGAAGCAAACGCCCAGCAGGCACGAGCATGTTCTCACGTCAGACATTCTCAAGTTCTGAAAAACACTCAAAAACCCACAAAGAATCTCAACTTCTAAAACTGCTTTCTGTATTTTTCTAATACATAGATTACCCCACTAATCTCTGCTCCTGAGTATTTTCATGAAGCATTCTCTGAAGTAGAAGCCATAAAGCACATTGTTCTATGCCTGGATCTCTCCAGACCTAGAGAGAGCTCCCCCAGCTCTACACATAAGTTTTACTTTTTTTTAAAAAAAAAAGAGAAAATGTTTAACAGCCTTCAGTCTGTTTTTAACTTGAGGCACAAATGTTGTGATGGAGTTTTATGTTATTTGTATTCCTGCATGCCCAGAGTGCCTGAGCCCATTTTCATATTGATGGAGCATTTTTTGAGGGATCAGGGGAGCTGTGGTGGGGCTTGAAGAAGTTGATCCTATCCATCTCACTATGATCTGGTACTCTGCTGTCATTGCTAAGTTGGGCTTTGTTGTTTTTGGCAGAAGTTTTCTGCAGATCCTAAAAAGCTGATGAACACCCAGGCTGATGTCTTTCAGATTCACTGTACAGGACAAGGGGCAATGGGTGCAAGCTGGAACATAGGAGGTTCAATCTGAATATGAGGAAAATTTTTTTTACTGTAAGGGTGACAGAGCACTGGACCAGGCTGCCCAGAGAGGTTGTGGAGTCTCCTTCTCTGGAGACATTCAAAACCCGCCTGGATGCATTCCTGTGTGACTTGGTCTAGGTGATCCTGCTCTGGCAGAGGGTTGGACTGGATGATCTTTCGAGGTCCCTTGCAACTCCTAAGATTCTGTGATTCTGTACATTTGTTCTTCTCCACATCATTATTTTCATTAACTAGACAACTTGTTTCTGCTTAACTTTGATTCAATCAAAAATTGGTGCTGTGGCATCCCCGTGTATGCACTGCCACACAGCACCTTTGCTCATAGCCAAAGGTGAGAATTCAGCGGTCCCTGACTTGCAGATTATAGTGTCATAGCCAACAGCTGTCTTTGCTAGGCTTGATCTCCAGCCTACAGGAAATTATGGAAACTTTTGCATTAGTTTTAGTGAGGTTTAGATCTCTTCCACAGTAACTTAAGCTCAGGTCTGCTACGTGCACGTATCCTGCATCGGGATTCTGATAAATGAGCTGCTCCTTTTCAGTTAAGTCTTCTGTTCCTTACGAGTTCAATGTTTTATGCCAAAAATTGACCTGTTTTCCAGGCGACAACCGTGACTGCCTTTAGAAAAACTTGGGAAAACATCATTTTATTTGATGCAGATGTCTTCACTTTCTGTCTAAACTAGCGATACCTGGCTTCCTCCAGAGCCAATTCAATAACGAGTGAAAAAGCCACTTCTATGACATGGTGTATCTGACCTACATAGATATGTACTTTTGAATGTCAGGAAGGGTAAGAGAAGCCTTTTTCTCTCAACGTTGAGTATCAAGATCCTAGCATGAAAAGGTCTGATTTGGATTATCTACCCTGTAGACATCTGTCCTTGATCAGAAGATCCCGCTCCAGGTGGCCTGAATTGGACACAGTAGACAAACAACTTTACTAGTCATTTTTACATAGTTACTGTGTTTAAGCAAAAATGAAATAGACTACAATGTCTGTGGAATAAACAATCTAGTGTTTTCTCCTTTTTATTGCTGTGATACAAAGTCAGTGGCTTAGCAATCTAAACAGAGACAGTTTATCAAGCCCTTACCTTTGGGGATAGTAATCTGACAGCCCAGGTCACAGTCCTGCTGCAACTGATAAAAAGCCACTTCCTGCAGCCGAGCACGCTCCAGCTCTGAGAGGCTTTGAACGGGAACTGACTTCAGCCGAACGCTGCGCCCTGACATGCTGTTCCAAGTGAAATCACCCTACAGGAAATCAAATGGAAAAAATATGAAGCATCATATGGTATGCACGGTTTAATAAACAGAACCATCTCTTTTACTGCTAGGAAAAACAACTCAGGTCCTCTTTTCTAAAAGGCCATTTTCTTGGACATCTCTAACCTTTCAAATATCTTTGTTTTTCTAAGAGCAGCATTCCTTAAAAGGAGTACAGACACACAAAACAAAAAGTCAATTCTGTCTGAAGCCATTTAATCAAGTATTGTTGCAAAAACATTAGGATTCCAGTAACCAAAGCACAGAGCGGGGGGGGGGAGAGAGAGAAAGAAAAAAGACCTTGTCTGCTTTGCCCAATTTGCTTTCTTCGTACAGTACTCGGTTGTCATTTCATTCCCTTCCCTGCACATTCAGTCAGACACGAGGACGTCCACAGGTCTGTGGACAACACGCATCTTCTTTCCCTCGACTTGCTAATCCCACTCCACCAGGCTGTACATGAGCAGAGCCTCTTCTGTTTTCTGACACATCCCACCCCCTCCTTATGATTATATTGTGTTTAGACCACGATTGATTAAAGGACAAGTTGTTTCATGTTTTTGAAAAGCCATAATAACAACGTATGTGTTCAAATTTATACAGGAAAACAACATGAGAGATGCTACATCTACGTAAGGTACCAATTATGCTTGGAAAGCAAATAAAAAGCTTTAGCTGTTCTATCTCCCACCTGCGATAACATATACAAAAAGCTATTCTCTTAGCTAGTATTTAGCTTGGGTGAGAGAAGTAATCATCAGTCAAAGAGGAGTGGAAGCACACAGGCAAGCTTAAAGGCTGAAGTTAACTTCACGCAAGAACTTCAGGATTCATCACAGCATCACCAAAGAGCGCATTTTAGCACTACGGGGTGGGGGAAATTGCTTTTTGTTCTAACCAGGTTAAAAACAAACATCAAACTTGTCAGTAGGTATAACCTGATGCAGCTGCAGATACTGGAAAAAACTCTGATGTACATCAGCTGACCTGTAAAGACAGATCCACCAGCCTACCTTTCATCAACACACAGCAGACTTACAATTAAGACTATTGAAATTTGTTTCTGCATTTTTTCATCCCTTCTTGCTCTTCTAGAGCCTTTCTGTTGATTAACTAGATTTAGTAATCTCAGACTAAAGGCTTGCACAGTGACACAAGCTGACTAGCTTAACTTCAGCAAAACCAAAGCAGCAAAAGTCATGTAAACCTTATTTGCAAAACTGCAAGTAAACGTTTACATTTTTAAAAAAGCTGTTGTCATTTATAGAGAAAACTGATGGAGAACAGAATCCACAACCAGACTAAGAAAGGAATTCCTTTCCAATCCTGATAATGCAAAAAAAAACTTTACAAGTACAGAAGCATGCAGCTAAATCTTCACGAACATTCAATGTACAAAATGTTCTACAGTCAAGATGGTAGAGAAAGAGAAATACAAGCCTTTATGGTGGAGTTTGGGGAGATGTTATTTTAACTATTTTTCCAAGATGAGCATTTTCATAAACAAAAATATCACTAATATGTTTACCATTAAAAAAATTAAACAGAGATACTATTTTTGAAACAAGAATGGGAATCAAAAAGGATATCCATTAGAAAATGTTGAGGTAAAAGAAAATAATAAGAAAATATAAAAGAATATA